AAACATGAGCGATCATTAACAGTAATGATCTACTCCTGCCTCCCTCCTCCCCCTGCTCCAGCTGGTCATCCACTCTCTGCTTTTCAAACCATCAGGAACCCCATTTCCCATTCATCCTATAAGCACTGATCAGGCCCCCACTGTGGTTCTCTGTCCTGCAGCACTGGGTTGGGAGGCAGGAAGGAAGAGATACAGACAGGATTCTTCCAGCGGGGAGATGGGAGCTGGTGACAGCGAGCAAGGTGGAGGCCAAGCCACAGTCAACTGACATCCAGGAGTGGGTGGGTTCAGGGGAGGCTGGAGTGAGGGGCGGGACCAGTGCCTGAGCGCCCACTGGGAGTTACCTTCGCTCCTCCACCTCCATGGCAGGTACGCCTGGGTGTTACCTCCGGCTCTGTGCTCTGCACAGAAGTCAGTGTCTGTGCTCTATGTTCCTGCCTGGGGAGCAGCACTAGGTGCCAACAGTGGAGCAAGCTGCCAGGGAGTCTCAAGTCACCTTGCCACGCTGCTCTGCTGCTTTGAGATCTGCTTATTCCCTCACTCCCAATGCCCTCCCCTGCCCCCCCCCCACACACACACCAGAGTTCATCAAATATGAAGTTCAGAAGTTCAGAGGCCATCTCCATTGGCGTCACCTGGGACAGGGCAAAGTACATGGTCCTGCTAATCAAAATAAAAAGCTTCTGCGTGGTGAAAGAAAACATCGTTAAAAGAACAGGCAGCCTGGGCCCTCCCTGGTGGCGCAGTGGGCTACAGCACAGCACTAAGCAGCTAAAACCACCACAGCATGAGTTCGATCCCCGCCTGCCCCAGAGGTGACCACATGGCATGGCAGACCTCTCCTGACCCGCCCGCTGCTCCCCTCAGCAGTGTACTTCGTTGATCTGCCTGCTCTGCTCCCCACTCTGTCTCTGGTGAAGCCTCTCACCACCCCTGAACCTATGGCCTGTACCCCAGTTCTGTATGCACAAATAAATAAGTCTTTAAAAAACAAAACAAAACAGGCAGCCAGCTGAATGGGAGATCTGCAAACCACATACCAGACAAGACTTAATATCCAAAAAGTATATAAACAACTCAACAAGAAAAAAACAACCTGATTTAAAAAATGGGCAGAGGATCTAAATAGGCATTCCACCAAAGAAGACATACAGATGGCCACCAAGTACATGAAAAGATTGCTGCTTATCATTAGGGAAATGCAAATCAAATGAGATATCACCTTGCTCTGGCTAGAGTGGCTGTCATCCAAGAGTCAAGAAAAATAAGTGTTGATGAGGATGTAGAGAAAAGGAGCCCTCATCCCTTGGTGGGAATATAAACTGATGCAGCCCCTAAGGAAAATAGTTCTCAAAAAATTTAAAAATAGGCCTACCATATGATCCAGCAATCCTGAAAACACCAATTTGGAAAGATGTATACACCCCTATGTTCATCACAGCACTATTCAACATCGCTGAGATATGGAAACTACCCAAGTGCCCAATGATGAGGACACAGATAAATGGACAAAGAAATGTGTAGACTCGCAGTGGAATACTACTCAGTTGTTAAAAAGGCAAAATGCTTCCATTTGTACAAGATGATGGAACTAAATGAAATAAGTCAGAAGCAGAAAGACAAATATTGTCTGTGCTCACTTATTTATGGACTAGAAAGGAAAACAAAGCAAATGAGTATACAAAACAAACCCTTAGACTCTGACAACAGGATGTGATTACCAGAGGGGAAGAAGAAGGAGGAAATTAGAAGGGACCAATTGATTGGAGGTGAAGGATAACTGGATATCTGGTGGTGGGGATGGTGTGATTCCTCAGCCACTGAGGTGGGAAACTACCTCTGAATTATACAGTCAACAGCTGCTATCTAAAGAAAAAGGGCTCCCATCTACAATGCTCCTGGGGGGGGGGGCGCTAGAATCTGCATGGGCACAGTCCCCCATTCTCCTTGGCACACCCACACTAAGAGCCCCACTGTTGCTGCTGCTTCCAGAATCCACCAACCTGCCTGCCTGGCTGGCTGCTGTCCCTGCCCCAAGTCCTTCAAGAGTGCTCTTCCTCTGCCCCCTCTTAAGTGCCAGGGTGCCCAGGTCCCTCCACCCAAGCCCCTGGTTCCTCTTCCGGCATCCATACCCCCTACACCCCAGGCTAGACTTTCTTCTGCCTTTGGGTAGCCAGCAGCACCTGGACTTGGCATGACCAGGGCGATCCCACCACCCTCTCCTTGGAACCCACCTGTCTCCCCACCCATGGGGAACTTAGGAGTCAGACTTGCCTCCTCCCCCTCTGCTTCCTTCATCTCAGCAACAAGCAAATCCTGGTGGGTTTGCCTTTCCTTGCCCCCTTCCTCTGCTGACTGGCTGCCTCAGTCTGTCCTCCCTGCAGTGAATTTCTCAGAAAGCTTTCTAAAATGCAAATCTAACTGTAATAAACAGTTTCCTTAAAGCCCTTCAAAACCTCCTCATGAACGGAAGGGTTCAGCCCTGACCTCACACATCAGCCCCTCGTCAGCTGTCCCAGCTTGCGGCTCCTCTCCCTCCCTTTCCTGCCCTCCAGAGGCAGCAAATGGCGTCCACCACTGGCCTCCAGGCTCTGGCCATTCACTGTCCCTAGCCAGGACCTGCCCTCGCCTGGCAGAATCTGCCTCACGGCTCCTCCACCACCTCCTCCCAGAAGGCACCCCTGACATTCCCGCTCCCCTCTATCCCCGGTGCACCCTTAATACCCGGCACAGGGATCTGTTATTCCACTCACCGCACTGAGTTACAATCATTTACAATCATTGATTTTCAAGTCTCCCGTAGCCAGCGAGAGCCTTGAGGGCAGGGATGGTGCCCCATTCATCTCTGTATTTCAGCCCCTGGCCTGGCGCCTGGCTCTGAGGACAGGCTGACCAGTGATTGATGGATGAATGCAGAAGAGAAACTGGAGGGAAGTGAGAGGCAGGAGCAGCTGAGCGGGCAGGCGTGGCAGGTCAGCCGGAGCCGCCTTGTGGGACGCAGCCAAGCGAGGACCTCCCTCGCCGCACTCCCCGCTGCCCGCTGGCCACCGCGCCCGAACTTTGTTTGCATTTTGTCTCATTAGTTCTTGCAACAACAGAGCAGGACACTGGCACCAGAGAAGCAGAGCAACCGGCCCAAGGTCACACAGTCAGGCCTGGAGTGGAATCCGGGACTGTCAGGCCTGAGAGCCTGCGCTCTTTCTGCTGGGTCACAGTGCCCTCCCGGGGACAGGACCTTCTGGAAACGGACAGCAGTGGGCCTGGCTCTGCCTTCACCCAGGACCGGAACCAGCTGTCCACCACGCTCAGGCCGGCAGCTTCTTCCTCCCAGCCACGCCAGAGGCTCAAAGGCTGGACGGGATTTATCTGTCCTTCCTCTCCTGGCTTTGGTGGTCCTTGACTGGACAAGCACACCCCCACCCCCACCAGCGACGGGCTGCAGCTTCCTGGTATGGCCCCCAAGAGCCTGGGGAAGGCAGGGGGCTCGGTGATGCTGTCTGAGTCCTGCAGAATCTGTCTCCCTCAACGCACTTGGCCCAGGCTGATATTAAGATTCATCTGCATTCCCCGTGCACCCGCCTGGCAGATGGTGGGGGAGAAGGCTGGGTGTGTGCTGGGGGCTGCAGCCAGACACCCAGCTGGGCCCAAGGACCACGGAGCAGGATGCCCACCCAGCACGCCCTATGGCCTAGCCCAGGCTGGGGCCCCTCCCAGTGCCGGGGCACCTCCTCATCCTCATGGTTTTTCTGAAGACTAAAGGGGCCCTGGAATTCCAAGAAGAAAATGTAAGGATGGGGGACAGGCCCACATCTTAGAAAATCTCAAATCAGGGTCCTGTTCCTCCTTGCCCTGGAGGCTTGCACAGCCCAGAGAAAACCAGGGACCCCTGGGATAGGAGCCCCACTGACATCTGGGTGGCTCCCTCCTCTCAGAGAGGGTAAGTAGGGAAGAATGGAGGGACGTTTCCAGAGAGGCCTTGCCCACCCCGGCCTCTCAGAATGTTCCCTCCCTCAGCCCCAGAATCCATCCTGGTCCCCAGCTATCTTTGCAGACCAGGGGCCCCACCAAAAGTTTCCAGACTCCGACTGGACAGAGGAGAAAGGAGATGTGAAGAGAGTTACCCCGGTTCCTCAGAGTAGACAGGAGAAAGCACTGCTGTTTTAACCAAAGGCTACGGGCTAGACACCCAGAAGAACTTCCTGCAACTGTGAGGACAGGCTGCGCTAAGAAGGTCGTTCCTTTCCGGCTGTTGGCATGGGTTTGGAACACTGACCTTTCCAAATTCCAGGTCCACTCAGGGTCACGGTGGGGCAGCGGCTCCCCGCTGGCGCTTACGAGACCGGTGCTCTGAGGGGGGATTGGGGGAGCAGGTGGAAAGGTAGGGTCCCCAACCCCAGGCCATCACCATTGCCAAGACTTGCTCCGCCCCCGCGTCCTGCCCCTGCGTCCTAGGTCCGGCGGCTGCGGGCCGGCAGGGGAGGAGTTAACTCCGGAGGTACCGGCTGGGCTCACAGTACCTGCCGCCGCCGCCGCCGCCGCCG